GACCCCTGCCGCGCAAATAAACAGCGGCGTCGCGCGTAAACTGTGACATGCGTGGCGGGTCTGGCGCGGCGCGACGGCGCGGATCGATCAGCTGCCCCGGCGCTGAGCCGGCGTCATGAAGCTCAGCTGGGGCGCAGGAGGGGGGGGGGGGGGGGGGGGGGGAGGGGCGCCCGGAGGTAGAGAGGCCCAGAGGTAGCGGGGCGCTGGGCGCCAGACGGGGTCCTCAGCGGTGCGACATTTGCTGTGTGTGGTGCCTATCGAATCACGCCTCGTTTGGGCGAGGGTCCGCTCGGGGCCCTCATTCACTCAGAGATCCGCCCAAGTATCCGCGCCCCGGTCAACAGTTGCATGTTTTGAGAGATGGCTTGACCAGGGGCGCAGCCAAAGCTGGAGGTCTCCATCTTCGGCCTGAATGTTTCGTTTTCACCAAAGACTGTTCCCGGTAGAACGCTAAAAATCGACGTGATGCGTTCTCACCGAACTTCGGCCCCTCCCTTGCGAAAATCCTGGCGGCGCTCCTGACGGTGACAAGTCATCCACATCTTATGCAGGTACCTATACTGCGGAAGACCGCGACAGGTGCCTTGTCAGATCCCGGCAGTCATGCTGTGTCGCAGGGCGCACCTCAGCTCCCTCGCTTGCCACCACTTGATTCCACCGTGCGGAACGGCGTCGGAGGCGGATTCTCCTGTCACGGCTGAATTCCGTCCACATTCCGTCCACATGGTTCTACTCTGAAGGAATAATAGACGTGGAGCCAGTAGTTCTACCTGTACGACCGACGACTGAGCCAGGCCTGTGCCGCAGCAGGTCTGGCTCGCCCCTCAATCGAGAATTCGTGTAGGTGCCAAATGAAGAGCGGCCTCTTCCTCCCGCGGTCTCCCGCCCCCCCCCCCCCCCTAACTTCGATGATCATGATCCACACGCCTGCCATCACTGGTGAGATATCGACCGTTCGTCACCAGCTTTCCGCGCGGGATGTCGGTCCAGAGCATACATTGGCCAACGTCAGGTCGGCGCTAAATATGTGAACCACTGACGGAAATCCCAACCCGCTATAACATACAAGTGGCCGCGGAGTGTCCCTATCCTGGCTGGAGACCCACTTCGGTCCCTTTTATCGTTGGATTTGTACTCGCTCTCCGCTCCACACGGGCCGCTCCTAACGCTAATCCAGCCATCACTTGACGGTTTAGCGAAGCGCGTGAAGGCAGCCCTCCGCGCGCAGACTGCCGTTGAAGGTCACGGATAACCAAAGGTCACGGATGGCCAGAGGTTACGGATGACCAAACGCAGCCCCTCCCCAGCAGCCGGCGGATTCCCACGCGGACACGAGACAGCTCGGGCTCTTCCATGGCGGGCGCGCAGCGTTGTTCTTCCCCGGTGGACACCCGGGTGGACACGGGACCGGTAGCCCAGGCTTTTGCGTACCTCAAGCCCCCGGCGGGCCCGTCCCACAGCAGAGCGAGCACTGCGACCCGCCAGTCCGACCCACCTGACCGACTCGGCTGGGTCACTGCCACATCACCGTCCGCCTGAGCCTACAGACACGCCCCTCAGCGAGGGATCGCTGCTGCAGCGACACAACTCCTCTCTCGTGACCTGGTCCTAGCCCAGGTCACGTGACCTAGCCCTCTGAGCCGACGTGCCGCCGTTGGGCGGGCGACCCAGCCTGACCGCGAACACGGGCAGGATCGATTCGGGCGGGCGACGCAGTCAGCTCCTCAGTAAGCCGCGACCCGGGGCGGCTATCCGTGTCATCAAAGCAGCGGGTGCCACCTGCCTGGAGGCACACGGTCCCATGAACACTCGTAACGCTGCTCGACGCGACATCAACCAGTGGGCGTCACGTTATCGATCACCGAGTGGCAAGGGCATAGGTTAACCCGTGCGTCTACTGCGTGTGTATGCGCGTGTGTGTCATGGGTCTCTAAGATCGGGAGAGTTAGAGGGGTCAACTGGAATGTGGAAGAAACAATTTGACCTGGAGATGGCATTTGGCCAAAAATGAACATGAATATGTGCATCCTACGAGCAAAATTGCGAGGAAAGAAATCGTATGCGGGGCCAACTGAGACATTCCCGCCTCCCCTCCCCAACGGTTCCCATGGTTACGCCATGGGAGCCGTTGTACGTCCATGTACCGTGGGAATGGCGAGCTGTGACGTCATAGCAACACGCCACGCCACCAGCAGCCGCGGGCGGCACTAACCAACGTGAGGACCGGACCCGCCACCAGCGAGACGCCAGCTAGGCTGGTAGCCGACAGCCGGGGCCAAGGCGACACCAACGATGCGGGCCGACGCTGCGGCAGCCGTGCCGGTCGGGCTGGGGCGGCCCCACTGGCCCGGAGGCCCGCTGATGCAGCCGAAACACCAGGCTGAGGTCAGCAGATGCCGGCCACCGGATCTCACCCGCCAGCCCCTCCCCCCCCCCTCCCCGCAGGGCTCGCGCTCCGGTCTGTCGCAGGCCAACGGCGTGCAACAAGTGCGCCGCTGCGGAGGGGGAGGGAGCGAGGAGCCGGAGCCGGAGCCGGAGCCGGAGCCGGAGCCGGAGCCGGAGCCGGAGCCGGAGCCGGAGCCGGAGCCGGCGCCGGCGCCGGAGCCGTTGCCGTTGCCACCCAACGTGAGGACCCGGACACGCCGGCACGTGGGGCGGCTTGGTCAGAATTAATCCCAGCTGACGGATGTCGCGGCACGTTTTCGCAGCGGCGGCATACTGAGGAATGGCACACTGATGGTGACATCTGCGTTGGCGTGGTAACCACCGGCCGCTCGCCACTTGTTCGAGTCGCCCTGTGCTCAGTTGCAGGCGTGATATTCAAGCGGTCGCGAACCTGGTGCGGGAGGAGTGTTCTAGAACGGTGCATCTGTGGCAGCACGCAGCCCTGTGCCGTTATAGCGCGGTCTGAGGCACTGGGGAATACGCCCTTCGTAGCCATCATCGCATCGACCACAGCTTATCGGTCACGGCCCCTGCCCAAGGGCTCACGTTAAAATGTTTTCGCGGGAAGCATATCGATTTATTGACACGATCATCCACGGCTGGGCTGCTTCATATGCCTCCGAATGGGGCTGTGGAAAGGTCACGATTAGCCGAGACGTAAATGACCTGTGTTTTATTAGTAGCCCGAAGCACGCTTCCACCCAGTCGTAGAGTAGTAATGCGACGGTTGAAACGGACATAATCGAAATCATCGAAAGCTTCCAGCAGTCGTGACTGGCCTATAATACATTTTTGAGAAGCACAAAGGGCCTTTCGTTTTAGATTGGTTTAAAGGGGTTTCGATTGGAGAGGGGTGGGGGTAGCCTCCAACGGGATGCCAAGAACATCGTAGTAGATCATGGCCTCAACCAGATATCTCCTTAGCTCCATCCCGACGCATCTTTGGTGAAGCAGGACTCCACCAAAGACATACAAAGCCCTGCCTGCGCCGACCTCCCAACACGCGGAACATGGGTGAGGAACGCAAAATGGCAAAAGGGCTCAGCTTCTGTAGAAGGCTCGGCCATATTAAAAATGTGCCACTGAAAGACGCCCATGCCGGCAGCATTGGCACACCGACCTCCACACCATTCTGCGGCAGTGAAAGGGAGCCATGAGGACCGTCACTGGTTCCTCCAGAACTGAGGAGAGCTCAGCCTCGTCTCTGGACTTTTCAATCCGCCCCACCGCGCTCCTGTTCAGAGCAGGTGTTCTCCGCTGCCTTCCGCTCCCCAGCCTCGGTCTCCGCTGCCTTCCGCTCCCCAGCCTCGGTCACTGCCATGCGAGGAGTCGCCTAAATCCGAGTCGCTTGTGCCGAACTCGTGGTTGTGGCCCAGTCTCTGAGATTGTGGGACAATTCAGGATGGGGCTCAATCAGGAATGTGGGGGACAATCTGGCGGGAAATGGTGCTCTGAACGGAAAAACGCAAAAAGCGAGCACTATAGGGCAAAACTGGAAGATGCCAAACTCCATTTTGGGACAATTGGGGAACGTGACCCCTGCCCCGCCCCCCCCCCCCATGGCTACACCCACGTTCAAACTGGGCTACGACGCTACCGGCATTAGGAGCTGCTGTGATCAATGTTGTCCTGCAGCCTGTAACCTGTTCATGTCACAGCCTAGGTCAAAACTTGACCACGTTGACCATTGTGGGGCAAGTGTGTGGCCTGCGGCCGCGCGGGCAGGTGTGTGGCCTAAGCCAGGCACTGGCCGAACTGTTTTACGAAGTGGAACTGTTTGGACGCTCGCAAGTAGAAAGTGGGTGCTGGAGCGCGTTTCGTGCGCCAATCACAAGCATGAGATTTCGCCATAATGTATACGAGGAAAAGTACACATAAGGAGATGACGAGATAGGCGCACTTGACATTTCTGGCGATGGGTCCTTTGACCCAGCGCGCACCAAAATAATGATGTGAAATGAGTGTCAGTCGCGTTCGAATGCTTATTGGCCAATTTACACCGGTACCCAAGACCCCGGTGTCATATGCAGAGAAATGGAGGACTTAAGTCGCACGTGACGCTCTGCTACCATACGGAGGGAAAAGCGCAGACCGAGGCCACACCTCAGCGCCTGCCGTGTGCCGTGTGGGGTTGGCGGCCTTGCGCCTCCGCTTGAGGTCCTGCTACACTACAAAGGAAACTGACCAGCTTCCACACGCATCTGAGGCCGTGCTAGGGCAGTGGGCGGGCTTTCACTCCCGCTTGATGGCCTACTGCAAACCACAGTGAGGAGGACAGACTTATACCTGGACAGGTGGCCCTCTTACGACCCCTACGCAACTCATCGGTTTACGCACGCACCTGAGGCCGTGCTGCAAACCATAGGGAGGAGGATGGCGGGCCTTCCATCGGACATGTAGCCTCGCCACAATACTTAGGTAGGGGACTATAAAGTAGGGAACTGGACGGCTTATACACGCGCCCGGGGCCGTGCTGCAAAGCATACGAGGAGGCTGGCGGGCCTACCATCGGACCTGAAGCCTCGCTACGATACTTAGGGAACTGCGCGTCTTACATTCACACTTGAGGCCCTGCTTGGAGAGCCCATGCAGCATGGAGCCGCAGTGATCACAGAAGGTGGGCGCCGTGTACGTGTGCTCCAGCCAGCGGTGGATGGCAGACTCGATCTGCGAACGGCACCGGGCGCAGGGCAGTGACACGATCCGCTCAAGGTCACCCGGTCAAGGTCACCCGGTCAAGGGCATCGGGTCAAGGGCATCAGGTCAAGGGCACCGGGTCAAGGGTATCGGGTGAAAGGTATCGGGTCAAGGGTATCGGGTCAAGGGAATTGGGTGAGGTCACTGGTAAGATCACCGGGTAAGGTCGCCGGGTCGAGGTCACCGGGTTACGGTATTGGCGCCGTTGGCGGCAGCGGCGGAGACCCAGACTCACCTGACCGTGGCTGAAGTGTGTCCATGGGGACATGGCGTCGTGCCCCACGAGCACACATCGAGAGGTGAGGTTCGAGCAGCACGGACAAAGCAAGCCATGCGGGGACGGACTTTGCCGTGCTCCCATGTCAGTCGGGAGAACGCAGCCCCACAGCGTGCGAGGCGAGACCACAAAACAACACAACATAACACAGCACAGCACCACACAACAAAGCACAGCACGGCACACCACAGCACAGCGTGGGCTGACACGGCGCGGTGGGCACAGTCGTCTTGCTGTGTCTCATTCAGCGCGCATCATGCGGTTACGCGGTCGGACAGACCAGCATGGCATGCGTGCCGGTGAGGAGCCAGCAGGCTAGCAGACAGCAGACCAGCAGACCAGCGGGTCTGACCAGCCGGATTGTACGGCAGAGCCAGGAGATGTGGCGACAGAGGCGTCCTGCTTCAAACGGAAAGCTTCCACCACAGCCAACAGGGGTGGCGTACTTCAAATGGCACATTCCAAGCATGATCTTTTCCCCCGTCGCGATTGGTGTGCGGGGTTGTGGCGCCTACACCATGACAAAATCTCTTAACACGATGTTCTTAAATGACAACCTATGATGATGACTGAGCGAAATCGCTGAACAAATTATTCAGCATGATTCTCTCCTGACATGCTTCGCAAGCTCCTTCCACGCCCTCTTAAATTCTAACGACTTTGGAAAAAATATCCGCCATAGCTTTTGGCGACAGACCAGCGGCACCCCTCTCTCCCCCAGGTGACTGTACCACAAAGAGCCCTCATCCTTTGCGAGTTCATAATGGGCAAATGACACCAATTTGCCTTGCGGCCCCACCGAATTCCCCAAAATGGGTATCATCTCTACCAAAAAAACTGCGTGACGTTCTGTCGCAAAACGCGTTAGAGCCGGCAAACAAAACGTTGCCAAACCATATCCGCGTCATTTGTGGCTGGCTTCTTTCTCAGGAGTGTCATATCTGTCAGAACTCCCATCCCACACGGACTCCAAATATGATGACCTTTTGGTGCCTCACGGTTGAAAAATGCAGTTCTGGGAAGGATGAAATGCTGTCGTCAGTTCCGCGATAACAGCACATTTATGTCAGAACAAAAGAATAGAAACGCGCCGCTGAAATGCTCACCAGATGTCAGAAAATACGACAGAGACACGGACTGAGCGGACAAAGGGTGAGCAGATCCATTGTAGAAAGCTGAGTGTTGCCCGCGTGGCACGGCAGCGGGGCGGTGAGCGTTCCGCACGCCCCCCCCCCCCCCCACCCGTTTTAGGCGCGTGCGCACCCCGGGCGTTTTGGGCGCAAATTAATTGCCGTGGCCAAAAACACCATGGCGCGAAGGATTACAAATTGCAGAGCATTGCAAACCGGAATGCAAATCGGTCGGTGTCAGGACGAGATAGGTCCGGTTCCCACCCATAGTGATCGCGCCTCCCAAACAAAGGGGGAAGTCCATGCGAAATCACAAAAGCCAGCGGACTTCTGTGATGTGGTATCGACCTGTTTACATTTCAGATCTTAAGTGCATCAAGGCTTATCCACCGTCATAAGCTTCATCCAAATCCTCACCGTAATAACGTTCCCTTGAGGGGTCGAGGGCAACTGCAGACACAGAAATGGTAGCAGTCAACTCCCCGCACCTCTCATCTCTGTACCCATTACTCTCGGATGCCTCATCCATCTTCCTTCTCCTCATAAGGATCCCCATTTCACAATCAATCTCCATCTTACGGGCCAATAAATCCGCACGCTATTTTTCATTTCTGCGTCCTGGATAACACGCTCTCAAGACAGCAGCGCTGGCCCAGCTCCTGTGGTCCCCAGCATAGCGCCAAGAGTGTACTACACGAGAGAGCACTGCAGAGGATGGTCTGGTCCCCGCCCACCACTGAAGCTACACGGCAACTAAACACATCGAACCACGTTAGTCGTATTTGAGGCTTGAGCTTTGCTCTCCGATCGGAAGTGTAATCGATTTAAAGATAAACCAAGCCTATGGGACATTTGGAATTCGATTTAAGCGGCGTTTTCTCTCTGTTTCATTTGAGGCCCGGACAGGCGCCGGTACACATGCGGGCTCGAGCACACTACGAACACAGCTGCGAACAGGACGCATTCATGCGAAGTGAGTTTCAGTCAGAGGTGGCGACTTTCTCCTTCCTCCCTCCCACCCCAAGAAACGAAAAATTGACTCTGCAACATGCGATCCTTCAACGCGTCCAGTGTTTAAATTAACCTCAAATTTGCTTCAACACTGTCGTGTTTTCCATTCGAGCGCGCTTACGGGAGCAGACGCGAGCACGAGTGAGAGGAGAGCCGGCGCGACCACGAACAGCCCAGCGAACTGCGCACGTGTCGCGCGAGGAACGAGTCGAGTCGATGCGACAGCAGACCCGTATCGAGAGCCCGTGGTCTGACACGTCGCGGTGTCGCCTGACACGAGCTGGGACCGCTCGCACGCAAGCCGGTGCTGTCGTGCATGACATACTGTGCCGCCTATGGTAGCAACTGTAACGTTGAGACACGTCCTGTCCCGCCGCAACGCAGAAACACGAGTAACGCCGGCCAACAGGCGAATGCTGGCGGGTGAAGCTTGGTTCACAGTTTTCACAGTTTTTGTTCACAGTTTTTGATAGTCCATGCTTCCGCTTTGACATCGCTGATTTTTTCTAGCACGAAGGCAACGTTATCAAAATCAAAAATGAAAATTCAGCGAGCGGTCTCCATCACGCGGCCTCGAGGGATGTCGTGAGCACCTTGGGTCAATGTCGTCGTGGAAGCAGTTTAGCATCATGCTAAAAAGGAGGAAAGAGCTTGTTAATTTTAAAATAGCTAGGGCAAGATAAGCACGCGTGACAAGGCCAGAATAATGCCGATGCGTGCTCACCAGACAAGAACTCACACGGCTCTCCAGTTCAGTAGACAGCGAGGGCGAGGCTAGCTCCCACTGCCACGTTCGTCCAGTGAGGAGCGACGCTAGCTCCCACTGTCACGTTCGTCTAGTGAGGGGCGACGCTAGCTTCCCACTGCCACGTTCGTCCAGTGAGGAGCGAGGCTAGCTCCCACTGCCACGTTCCTCCAGTGAGAAAAATAGGAACATAACAGAATGCATAACAAGTCCCTTAAGCAATGACATCATGCTAATATGCTAATGCAATAAGCCTCCAGATGACATAAAAACGGCTGATGAATTCGAGACCGAAGATTAGCCTCCAAATGGCAAAGACGGGCCACTGAAATCCAGACCAAGGCGCTGCAGCATGTTGAAAGGGATGGCTCGTCACGAACGGATGTCGCGGTGCAGCCCCGCCGGTCAGAGTGCAGGCTGCAGAGGCAGGCCACGCTCGCGGGGGGCGTCGGATGCCCTTGAGTGCCCAGCTGACCGCGGCCAGCGCCTGCTGCCCGCCTGCTGCCCGCCGCTGCCCGCCGCTGCCCGTACCATATTCTCCTCTCCTCCTCCGGCCTTCGTGGGCGTGCGCAGCGTGGCCCCCGGATTTCAGACACGAGACAGATGAGGCGCGTCGGGCGCCGCGACGAATGTGGCGCGTCCCCCGCCGATACACGCTGTGTCCGCCCGCCGCCGCTCCGATACGCTGCTCGCGGGCTTTAGCGCGGCGGGCGCTCAGTCGCTGCTCGAGCCGATGTAGAACTTATCGTGGTTTTCCATGCGCACAGCCTGGCGGATTGGAACAGCAGACTAGAAAACACTGCAGTAACTGAACTATGGCGATCGTATGAGTCAGCTGTTGCCGGCTTTTATCTCTGGCGTGGCGTCGTTACGTGGTTGTGTGCGAGTCGTTCAATGGTGAATTATACTATCACTGGTTTTACGTTGCGCTCGCGTAGACGCATGAGGGTTGGCTGTAAACCAGCGCTCGTGTCGTGCGCGGCACGCGTTCCGACGAACCGCGCCAAAAACACGAGATCGTGCGCGCGCGTAAGCCACGCTCGGCGCCGAACCTGGCCCGCCTGGGCTGGCGCCGCCCTGACCTCCGCTTCAGTGCCGCCCGGCACGCGCAGGCTGAATGTGAGCGATGAACCCCTGAGCAGCGTGGGAGGTTGGCGGCAGGTCAGCGACGTAGTGCAGGGAGCGCCGGGGGACCCTATCTGCTCGAGATGGAGAACTACGCGAGCAACGGGACTTGTGCACCCTCGATTGTAGGGCATCAAATGAGTGTATCCTCTTCTCAAAGGCCGGCCCCCTGGAGCCCGACAATGCGCCCAGCTCATGCATAAGACCATCGCTTTCCAATTTCGACTGACGAGGGCTGGCGGGCCGCTGCACGAACTTGACGGCAACAGAGGTGATGACGCTGAAATAAAGCCGGCAACACGGCGGCTGCGGCCGGCTTAATGGCTTGGGCTGGACGATATGGGCCCACTGCCACACCGCCTGCTTGCAGTGCTCATTGCGCGCAGGGAGCGGCTCGTGGTGGCACGGCAGGGCTGAATTAACCCAGTTCGCGCTCATATCACCGACGGATTCTCAAGCCCAAATAGCTGTGGAATTCCCCCCCAGCTTAATTTTGGTCTCGCGAGCCAGTCTTCGAGTGCGCACTGACGCATGTCTGCATTCCAGCATTCAGTCATAATGGCATCCTTGATTGCGAGTGCCTCCGAATTAACCGAGCGATAGAGGCCCGTGTCGCACCGTACCGCACCACTAGCGCGCAGTTAAACTTCGCTCTCAAAACACGGGTGTTGTCATAAAGGCCGGACTGGTCCGCGAGTGTCGAGCAAAACGTCCAAGAACATAGAAATGCGCATGAATGTTGGGCCCAATACCAAGTTCACGACACTGCCTCAACCACACATAAGTGCTCGGGTTTCAAATAGTCGGGATACAGCGTGAAAGTCAAAAAGCGAGGCAATCGCTTTTTGAAAAAAACGAACCCGCCAGATCATGTTATTCCTTCACGAAGATGAAATACAAGTTGCCCACTTGCCAATCTTGGCTGTAGAAGCACGTTCCCACCACAAGGATGGCGTCGTCGCCGCCGACTTTATTTTGGACGCGTCGCCACGCCTCGTTAGAACAATGGCGGATCTTACGACAGCGAGGGCGAGATCATGCCGAAAATATTTCACCAGCTAATGACATACGCGTCGGCCCGCTCAACGTCGCGCCTCCGAGCCGTCCAGAGGTGTGCCAAGTGCACCAGAAATGTGCGAGGGAAGCTTTCCACCTGGGCCCCACCAACCGTTCGAGCAGGACGTCGCTGCAGCCATGCGGTTTAGCACATGCGGAGCAGGATGCCAGAGCGACAGACACAGACCGCGGCAGACGCCCCCGCTCGGGTTACCTTCACACTTAATTCCCTGGTGAATGATGCCGTACAGCAGAGACCCGCAGTGGTCGCAAAACGTAGGACTACTGTAGGTGTGCACCTTGAATTTGTGCTTAGTTCGTTTGTCCTGAAAGAATGCGCGTTGTCAGAGTTTGCCGACAAGACATCGCATCGTGGGCATATCTGGTCCGGATGCGAGCCGGAACTGACAACCGGAGCTGTCTTACGATGCCTGGAATAAGCACGGTGTGGAATCTTTGAGACCATTAATAATCAAAACGAAAGACATCAGAGCCAGATATGTTATGATCAGTCTACGGATATGGAAAGTGGGCAGGGGCGTTGTCTCACAAAATGAGTTTGGGGAATGCTGAACAGTGAAACATGACCCCACCTTCCCCAACAATATTTTAAGAGCTTCTCCCCAGATTAAACCTACTTTCTACTCAACGTTTGGGGGACTGAGGCGTTATCAGAACGTTATCAGGTCCGGACATCGCTCTGATATGATTCGGACAGATACCTTCAAGACGTAATCTACATGACAGACGTCACAATCGCTCGGAGGAACCGGGGACCATCTGAGTCACTTATGCATTCGTCGCTTTGCATAATTCCTCCTTCGGAATCCTATCGCGTCACTTCGTGTAAAAATTGAACGCTGTCTTCGAGCGGAAGCCATGGCTCGTTTAACACATCTGTGCCTGCAGCCTTGGTCGCAGCGGACATGACGTGTTATCAGCAATGCCGGGGAGGTATTTCGGTAGCAATGTGACACCAGCTGTACAGCACAGGCCTACATATGTGAGCACTGGGTAGCAATATGACGGTGAGAGGAACGGAACACAACATCTAGCAGACAGACAGCACTCAATTCAAGCACGGCTCATCGGTCGTGTCGGTTGTACACGCAACTTTAACAGCACCGACACAAGAACATAAAGTAGATCGCGAATACAGAGCACACCCCTCGATTCACAGTTCATGTTTGAAAGAGCTCCATTTACGCGGACTGGCGCCAAGAGAAAACATGATGGCGTAACAGACTGAGATAGATAAACGCACTGGTGTAGACAAAGCCTTGCGAATCTAGTGATGAAGACTTACGTCTGAGTCGGCACCCTTGTCGGCGCCAGGACACTTGAACGTGACGAATTCATGGCAGCGCTTGTGGACGACGTAGCTGCAGACTGGGGGGCAGAGCGTGACGTCAGTGGGCAGAGCAAGACGTCAGTTGTCGGCAGAGCATGACGTCAGTTGTCGGCAGAGCAAGACGCCAGTGGTCGGCAGAGCGTGACGTCAGTTGTCGGCAGAGCGTGACGTCAGTGGTTAGCAGAGCGCGACGTCAGCGGTTCGCAGAGCGTGACTTCAGTGGTCGGCAGAGCGTGACGTCAGTGGTCGACAGAGCGCGACGTTAGTGGTCAGCACAGCGTGACGTCAGCGGTCGGCAGAGCGTGACGTCAGTGGTCAGAGGAGCGTGACGTCCGTGGTCGTCAGAGCACGATGTCAGTGGTCAGCAGAGCGTGACGTCAGTGGTCGGCAGAGCGTGACGTCAGTGGTCGTCAGAGCGTGGTGACAGTGGTCAGCAGAGCGCGACGTCGGTGGTCGGCAGAGCGTGACGTCAGTCGTCAGCAGAGCGCGACATCAGTGGTCAGCAGAGCGTGACGTCAGTGGTCGGCAGGGCGTGACGTCAGTGGTCGGCAGAGCGTGACGTCAGTGGTCGGCAGAGCGTGACTTCAGTGGTCGACGGGGCGTGACGTCAGTGATCGACAGAGCGTGACGTCAGTGGTCGGCGAGGCGTGACGTCAGCGGTCAGCAGAGGGGCCAGTGGTGCAGGTCAGGTCAGCAGCTCGAGGACAACACTCCGGTCATCTCTCTGGCCACCGCGCGTGCCGCTTGGAGGCACATTGCAAAGCCTTCGACTGAGGCCGGGTGGGGCATAGGCTGTAATGTGCCAGTGTGCGTCGCTATGGGGCCGAATCGATGGCGACAACCATACAAAACAGCGGCGAAATGACGCTGAAATAGGCGAGGATTGCTCGCAGAGCCGTCGCCAGATAATGGCAACAGCGTCGCTCGTGACATGACCTGGCACAAGTGGCAGCGGGAAGTGAAACGCTGAGACTATGGCGAGGGAAGACACTCACCCGGTAGTATCAAACGTAGAGGACTTACTTTGGCACTGGAATCCTTGTTTACCGAAACCCCTGCAAAACAAGGAAGGCGTCGTCAGCTTGTTCGATGTATTCAGCGTACAATAATGCCGCATTTGCTAGCAACAAACCCCGCAGTGATTGCTCGCGTTGCCATGAATACTTTCCAATCTTGATGGTCCTGGCTGTTCAGTCTTTAATTAAAGATGAGAGCAAAACATCAGAGCCAGCACATTTACACACTTGCTATGTGTGACGACACGCTCTATGCCTACTCCGCGCTGTGACGTGGCGTGTGACACCGTAGAACAAACCACCCGCACAAGACGTGGCGCATATGCACCACTTTGAGAAAAAGCGCATGAGTCGTACACTCAAGCCGGTCAGAGGAATCAAGCTCCACACGTGTCTCCCGTGCTGGACCCAAACGAAGTTCAAGCAGTCACCTTATCGCTTGTATATTCACGGTCCAAAAACGCTTGGCAGTCACGACCGCTACCGTAGGAATCAGAAGCTACCGTTTGTGGGAGGGAAGTTGCGCCGTTTCCTATGGGCGTATGGTCGGCCAAAGGGAAAACCGCTTTACCGTTTTCTCTGAATAAGGATCTGTTTGGCACTACAGTTGGCACTTCCACTAGTTGTACACAGAGGCCAATTTAAGGGTCAGGGGTCCAGCAAACGGTCGGAATGTGCGCAATGGCTCATTGGTCACGTGAGAAAGCCATTCCGCAAGCACTCCAACGCGCCACATTTCGCTAGTTGAGTGTGTGTGTGGGGGGGGGGGGGGGGGCGTGTCTGCTGCACTTAACACTTGAACAAAGTCCTCTACACTTAGAACTTATAAAGTGGCCGCGCTCCACTGGCGTGTGATGACCTTTCACGCCCACATATGACGCGCTCTCTTCCAAAACCTCAAATGGCGTTCAGCCCGCGAACAATGCGGAACACCGAGTAGCTCGTGTCGCAATGCATTAGTTCCCGCCATGTACCCCAGCTAGCAGCTGACCGAAACAGAGACGCGAACTGTAAACATCCCCGCAACACCATTAGCGGAACCTAATGTGGCGCCAACATGACCCGGGGCACGCGAGCAGACCGGTGGCAAGACCAGGGGGGGGGGGAGTATCCGGCGCGACCTCACCAACGCCGTCTCCAGCGGCCGCAGCCCGGGGGTAGCGGTGCCCCGTCCTATACTCGGCCTTCGGGGCGAGGCCAGCACGTCCAACCCGGCACGCGACAAGCCTGGACAAACCTCCCGGATCCGCCGCCGCCGTCGCGCCGACAAGAAATCACGGTTGTTGACAGGATGGCCAAAACACTGCGACAGACTGCTCTCAATGTAATGGAAACCAGACGGACAGCTGGCCGTGGCCGCGCCGCGAGCCAGACGACGCCTCCAGCGGACTTCGCCAGCCGACACGCAGGCCACCATCCGCGTACAGAACCGAGAAACGTCCTCCGGTACGTCTCCCCGGCGATCCGTGCGGTGATCGCATCTAAAGTGATGTCGGCGTAGCTCGTTAGCTTTCTCTACTGCAGCCAGCTTCCGCGTCCACACTGGCCTGGGGCAAAGGAGCGTCGGCCCTCCATACAATGTCTGTTGGCCGCGCCTTGGGGTCGTTGTGAACGTTAACGTGATAAAATGCGGCCGTTGTACGACCGCAGCGTAATGCATCACGTTTGTGTAAGTCGTGGCGTAGAAGAGCAACTGTCCGGGCCGTAGTGTGAAAAAGTGTTTTATGATCTTGTGGCTACAAAACTAGAGCGCACGTGTGGGCTTTGACTCTGAAAAGGCCAATCCATCACTGAGGCCTGGTCGCTCCACCGACCGTGTGTCTCTGCGGCCGTGGTAGGCACTCGTGCGCCTGGAATCGAGTCATTACCTAAGCAATGACATCGGGCAATAAGGGCGGTCGCTACTAAAATCAGCATACGCGCATCGCCTTTAAGCTCTTAAGGCATCTTCCGGGGCGCCATTCATTACAAATGGCTCGTGAAATGCTGCCACGATATTTTGGAACGGCAGGTGCTGGCAGAATCCAGTCCCAGACCAGACATAGTGGCAATTGTCGAAGATCAGGCGTGGCCAGAGGAACCACTAGCATTGTACGCGTGCCGACATCGACCTCCATACCAGATGGCGTTGAAATGTTGACAAAAGACCATCTCACCATTCCGGAGAGATTTCTTTGTTGATTAACTGTTTCGTTCAATTACAATTCCATATTGAATTCAAGCCATGTGTTTCATGTTCGTCAATCAACCTAACGAGATTTCGATCGACGTGTTTCGCTTGTCCGAAGCAGTGTCCGAAACAAGATCACGCTGCGTTCGCCAGGGCTGGCAAGAAAAAGTTTTTGCGCACCGTGACACGATTCCTTCCGCTATCATATGACGTAGATGTATTATCATGGCTATTATTATGTGATAACCACACAACAGCCGTCCCCGATCTCGTCCAATAACCATTCGACATCTCGTCCGACACATTTGCAAGCATCGCCAGACGCTTTCCCAGACTCCGTCCAACGGCCACCCTGAATTCCTTCCCGACACCTCGTCCAGCACCCATTCCACAAAACCCCGCCCAACATCACGTCGGACACACGCTTCGCACATCACATCGTTCAGCAGTCGTCCAAAGTATCGTCCAATGTCTCCTCTGACGCATCCAACATCCGTTCGAGACACCGCCCGGCACCCGCAGCGGATGGTAGACTTCAGCACCCAGAGACCGCTGCTCACCTCCCGGCAGAGAGCGCGGGAGCGAGAGGGTGAGAGTGAGAGAGCGAGAGAGCAAAAGAGGGGGAGAGAGAGAGAGAGAGAGAGAGAGGGAGAGGGAGAGAGAGAAAGAGAGAGAGTAAGTGAGTAAGTGAGTAAGTAAGTAAGTAAGTAAGTAAGTAAGTAAGTAAGTAAGTAAGTAAGTAAGTGAGTAAGTAAGTAAGTAAGTAAGTAAGTAAGTAAGTAAGTAAGTAAGTAAGTAAGTAAGTAAGTAAGTAAGTAAGTAAGTAAGTAAGTAAGTAAGTAAGTAAGTAAGTAAGTAAGTAAGTAAGTAAGTAAGTAAGTAAGTAAGTGAGTGAGTGAGTGAGTGAGTGAGTGAGTGAGTGAGTGAGTGAGTGAGTGAGTGAGTGAGTGAGTGAGTGAGTGAGTGAGTGAGTGAGTGAGTGAGTGAGTGAGTGAGTGAGTGAGTGATGAGTGAGTGAGTGAGTGAGTGAGTGAGTGAGTGAGTGAGTGAGTGAGTGAGTGAGTGAGTGAGTGAGTGAGTGAGTGAGTGAGTGAGTGAGTGAGTGAGTGAGTGAGTGAGTGAGTGAGTGAGTGAGTGAGTGAGTGAGTGAGTGATGTGAGTGAGTGAGTGAGTGAGTGAGTGAGTGAGTGAGTGAGTGAGAGTGAGTGAGTGAGTGAGTGAGTGAGTGAGTGAGTGAGTGAGTGAGTGGTGAAGAGTAGAGAGAGAGAGAGAGAGAGAGAGAGAGAGAGAGAGAGAGAGAGAGAGAGAGAGAGAGAGAGAGAGAGAGAGAGAGAAGAGAGAGAGAGAGAGAAAGAGAGGAGAGAGAGAGAGAGAGAGAGGAGAGAGAGAGAGAGAGAGAGAGAGAGAGAGAGAGAGAGAGAGAGAGAGAGAGAGATGCGACCTTTGCCTGACGGCGGCAACGGGGGAAGGGAAGGGGAGGGGGGATTGAGGCCGGAACCGAAGCCGACAGGAGATCCGCCAGCCGGAGATCATGGAAGGTCAGAGGTCACAGCCCTGGGGGCATCCTGGCCGCCGCGGGCTCGGCTCAGGGCTCAGGGTGTCCTCACTGTTCGGTGTCCACAGGCTGGGGATCTCAGTGCTTCCGGGAGGGAGGATGACTTAGTCCTGCCGGGGACCATTTCCGCGCCAGCCTAACGCTGCCAACGCACCAGACTGATGCTGCCAGTCCAAGTGAAGCGGTTGGAATGGATTGTGAGTGAAGTGAAGGGGTTGGAATGGACACTCCGGCTGTTGTCCAGCCGGAGTGTCTGAATGGGCCACACTCCGGTTGGACAACAGCCGTAGCTGCAGTCAACGCGCATGACATATGGGCGTTAACGCACACATTCATACATGCCGACAACGGCAACAGACTCGCCGAAACCCAACCCGTCATGCCGACTAATCCGCAGCCACCTGGTGGCATAATCTTCCGAGACCGCAAGTGTGTGTATGTGACTTCGTATGGACACGATGGCGTTACCAGACAGCATATCGGTGGCATATTAAAAAGCGAGCTTAATCGCGTTGATCGCGTTGTAAAAATGCTGACCCGTTTGCAAAAAAAGATGACTTACCACAAGAAGCTCAGACGTGAAACACACGACGCTGCCCGCAAGGACATCTATAAAAAGAACCGGAAAACACTTGCCTCTGGTCCGACCACCACGCGCTCCACAACCACTCGCCACCTTCAGCCCAAACGAGGTGAAATATCGCCATCTGGCCAAAGGCCCTGAGTACCATCTGCTACCTCAGTCGCGACGCGATACCCAATGCCGCTAGACACGGGCTGAGCGCAGGTCCAGGAGTGGGACGGAAGGAGCCCGGTACGCCTTAACATGCGACGCCATTTTTGCCGATTGCTGTCAGCTTTATCATTGAGCTTCCTTCACTGGCTTCATTATAAATACCATTATCATTAACGACGCTGAGTCAACGTCCAGCGGCAACAACAGCACGCCGACATTGCGCAGCAAATGGGCGGTGTGCACAGTCCGTTGCCCGGAGCGGCCCGTGCACGAAGGCCGGAAGTTTCGCGACACCGGCAGCGGACCCTCGGTCAGCAGCGGACCCTCGGTCAGCAGCGGACCCTCGGTCGGCAGCGGACCCTCGGTCGGCAGCGGACCCTCGGCCGGCAGCGGACCCTCGGTCAGCAGCGGACCCTCGGTCAGCAGCGGACCCTCGGTCAGCAGCGGACCCTCGGTCGGCGGCGGACCCTCGGTCGGCAGCGGACCCTCGGCCGGCAGCGGACCCTCGGCCGGCAGCGGACCCTCGGTCGGCAGCGGGCCCTCAGCCGGTAGCGGGCCCTCGGCCGGCAGTGGGCCCT